TGAGACGTGCGAGTCTCTACAGCACATGGCACACATTGCATGGGAAAGCTGCGCCTCATATAGGGATAGCTGCAGATAGCACACAGAATGATGCTGCAAGTTTGTGCAATCTACCTCCTAGTGAAAACTGCCATATCAAGCAATGAGAGGCATGAGTCTCTGCAACGTGTTCCAGGCAAATATATTATTATCTCAATTAGATTATTCAGATATTGATTATCATCATGAGAGTACAATATATTGTAAGGTGCTACAATATAAGGAACCTGCTGCACTAGCAGGGTATCACTGAATGAGAGAATCATGTGAAAGGCGCCGGTTCCAGAGTGCCCAGAAGGAACCGGCACCACATGTCCAGCTGAGCGAGAGTTTTTGGCTCCTCTCTCTTTGTTGTTTCTGCTCCGTATCACACATCCCACTCGCTCGTACCTATAGTTTCCTTGCTTGTTTCTCATATTTTCGATTATTAAATACTTCGCTCTAATATTTCAAATGACACACCAGCATTTAGGCCTTAATCTCCCAGGGAACAGCAACCCTCAAGCAACCTCATCCAGCTCTACTTCACAGAGCAACCAGACATCCACCACTAATAGGCCTATGCAACCACCCATCCTACTCTTGCCTCCATCAACTCAAAGGCCGGTGTAGGGATTCATTTCTGGCTGGGCTGGTAGAGACTGTTTTTACCTTACCTTATGTTGGCACTTTTGTAGCTTACATAATCAAGCAATCTTTTCACCAGTTACCAGTATGAGTCTGAGTGCTCAGCAGTTTTCTATGATATTTCCTCTCCTCAGAGCCTTAAGCCTAGTCCAGAAACCCTTTAGGGTCAAATAGCAGCTAGGTTCTGCAAGACCCAACACATTGTTCAGACTCACCATCTGAATTGTTGTACCTTCACTGGGAACCGCATCTACCCACCCAAATTTGCCTCCCACTGGTAACCCAGCACCTAGTGGATCATCCTCCCACCCAGCACTGCAAAGAAGACCTTCCGTACAATCTGGACATTCATCCACTACACCTGCCAGATCGTCTAATTCAGCAGCTAATCTGCCCGCACCTAATGCATCCACTGGCACAGCATCCCCACTAGTGGGGCCAGCTATAGTCCAACCAGACCCAGCTATGCAGAGACGTACAACTAAGCGCGCAGCCCTACGAGCCAGGCTTCTGGAGTTAGAAGAGGAGGAGGCCAATGGTGCCCACCCACCGGCCAATGCCCCTCTTATTCGTATTCCTGTCTTATTTGCAGACCCAGCTGCAGTTGATAGAGCTCATGAGGCTGCTGCTGCTATGCACAATGAACCAAAGAAGCCCGCATTGCCAGAATTGGTTCCTGGCTTCAAAGCTAACCCACTTGATGCCAGTAAGTTCTCCCCTACAATATTTCATTGTTATCATTACATCATTGTGCACCTTGTTGGGTCAAATCCTCTGTCGTGGCTCTATGCTTCTCTTTGGAAGCAAGCCTTAATTTATATATATCAACTGCTTCGTTTCCCTCCACACCATTGAGAGCTCCATTGCTCACATAGATCTTCACATTACAGTCGTCCCTCCAAAGGTAGAGGATGCCTTAAGGCAATACAAATATGTGCCATACCTAGTGATTACCCCTGCAGCATGCCTTCATGCTGCTCGCAACGGCGACGAGGCATTTTCCTTCAATACCCAAGGCAACATAGTAGCCAAAGGTTTAGATTGTAGCAAAGAACAAACAATTAAATTTCATGATTGGTTGACTGCATCCAGAGCTGTGGAAGAGCGTATCACCTTTTACCATGGCGCCAACCATGGGGCAGCCTTCATATCCCATCATAAGATTGTTTCTGAACTCACATCCTCCCATGGATGGGAAATCACGCAAGAATATGATATTGCACAGCGAGAGCTGGCCGCACAGAACCCAGCCCATGGCCTGACAGGTCTGGACATCAATGCCCTCACGCTCATAGCAACTCAGGTTGCTGCATGTGTATCCCTAGCCACTCAGCCAATACCACATCATACGGAGCTATGCAATCTCCATGCAAGAAAGCACGAGTGCATTGCTTTCGATGTGGGCACTCTGGACATTTGCCAGGTGACTGCAGTGCCGAATCTACCTCTGCAGGCAAAACCGTGACACCAATTACAACCACAGCAAAGAGCAGACACACTCTCACAGCAGCCAACAGAAAGCACTACTGCCTCAATTGGACCCGCTCTTCTGCCTGCTCATTTGGAGCCAACTGCACCAACTTCCATGGATGCAGCATCTGTGGAGAGGCTGGTCATGGAGCCGGCAGCTGCACCCAGTGAGCCTGACCCCCACTTAGTGATAACTCCACTCATTGTGGATTGGGTCGAGGAACTTCTACATAAATATAATATCTTAGATGACTGGTTGCACATACTTGCAGGACTTCATAACAGTTTTGATGTTAGGGTACAAGGCACCCCACCAAACACTCGTTTATTTTGAAAATCATACATCTTCTCAGCTAGACCCTTCCTTTATCGACTCATACATCGCCAGTGAACAAGCCACTGGTCATTATTCCCGAGGTTACACCCCTCACGAGCTCAAACTCCCAATTGGACCTTTTCAATCGTCACCCTTAGGGTTAGTCCCAAAGCCTCATTCCAGCAAATTCCGCTTGGTACAGGACCTCTCATACCCATGAAACGACCCTTCCTTTGCTTCAGTAAATGCAGGTATCAATTCAGACGACTTCCCCACTGTATGGGGCTCATTCAACAGCACAGCAGAACTAATTCTCACTCTTCCGCTGGGCTGTGTTGCAGCAACATTCAATATCTCAGCAGCATATCGCATAACTCCCATGCACCCTCTCCAGCAAAACACTCTATGTGTATTCTGGCGCAGGATTGTGTACGTGGACAGAGCTCTCATGTTTGGTTTAACATCCAGTGCTGGAGTATTTGGATCTATTGCCGACATGCTTGTTGCTATCTGTGGAAAGGCAGGTTTCAACCTGATCCAAAAATGGGTGGACAACTTCCTTGTTATCCATTTACTGCATCAATCTTGGACAGAAGCCGATTTCATCACCCTCACTGCTTACTGTGGTGTTCCATGGAGCCTCGAGAAATTCCGCTGTTTTGCCTCCATGCAACATTATATTGGATTCAACTGGAACCTCAAAAGAAAATCTGTAGCCTTACCGGAGGAGAAACTTGCCAAAGTTCAAGCTCTGGTGAAAACATGGCTAGACACCACAACCAAATTCTCTGAAAAAGAGGCAAACAGCCTTCATGGAAAACTTGTGCACGTTTCCTGCATATTCCCCATCATTTGTCCCTTCTTAAGGGGGCTTTCATCATTTGCAGCAATATTTCGCTCACCTCGTGCAAAGCTCTCCCCACCAAAAGGTGTTATCAAAGACCTCCAATGGATCTCAGACTTGATTCCAATCCTTCCCAACAAAATTCCTCTGTGCTCCATGCACCTGCAGGATATAGGTTGGTGGGGCACATGCTCAAATAAATTGGTCTCTATGTAGTTTAGACAACCTGCTTGGTGCTCGACGCAAGCCGCTCCATCCTCCAATCACTATCAATATGTTACATGCACTCAAAGCCACCTTAAACTTATCTGACTCATTTGATGCTTGCATCTGGGCAATGGCAAGCTGTGCCTTTTTTGGTATGATGTGTTTCGGTGAGATGTCAGTCAAATCATGGACAGCCTTTGATCCAGCAAAACACATCACTCGCAAGGATGTTTTCCTGGAAGTTGACCTTGTAGGGAAGGCATATGCTCGATTAGATCTGCCATCAGCTAAAACAGCTTGCCCAGGAGAAATTCAATCAATCTTCCTAGTTTCCCAGGGCACACTCTGTCCTATTACAGTGCTACACAACTTAGCATCAGTAGTACCAGTGCTCCAAGAGGACCCTTTGTTCTCATGGTGAGACAGACTGGGTGACATCCACCCTATGGTAAAACAGCGTGCACTCAAGCGCATAAACTGCATAATTGCAGCTTGGGGGTGGGGGACCACGTTTGGGCACTTGTTTCGCATAGGAGGGGCCTCATTCTACCTTGCACAGAAGGTAGATCCCGAAATAGTGCATCTAGCAGGGCACTGGCATTCGCTCGCCTATGAAACGTACATCCGTGCCTTTGAACAAATCACTTCTCAACACCTCAGCATCATCCTGTCGTAGCACTGTCTCACCAGTGATTGGGCTGGCTGCGTGATCTGCCACAGTTTGGTTTCACCAGCGCATGGGTAAGCGGCAATCTTGTCAGCGTCCAAACTGAGCTAATGCTCGGCCCCAGCCCAACCACTGTTGGATTGACCTCTGTGCCACCTGATAGATGAAGCTGGAATGTGAAAGGTGCTGGTTCCAGAGTGCCCGGAAGGAACCGGCACCACACGTCCAGCTGTGCGAGAGTTTTCAGCTCCTCTCTCTTTGTTGTTTCTTCTCCATATCACACATCCCACTCGCTTGTACCTACAGTTTCCTCGCTCGTTTCTCGTATTTTCACCCTCCCTCCACTCCCATTATCATTGCAACTATAATCATATTCATGTCATATTGGATTATATCTCGAATATCCATACATACATACATACCTATCATTGTATCTAGCAGCCTATCTTATCACATATAATGGTCATCTGACAATCCGCTGTCGAGTTTGTTTCCTACCCACCCGGCAGCAATCTCGTCAGCATCCAAACCGAGCTAACACTCAGCCCCAGCCCAACCACTGTTGGATTGACCTCTGTGCTGCCCGATAGACAAAGCTGGACAGAGATAACATGGAATGCAATGTCAGAGGTAACAAGAGCACAATGCTGAAAGTCCCAGTGTGAGAATACAAGTGCAACAAGGCAAAGTCCAGTGTGAAAATGTGGTGATTCAAGAAGTGGCTGCTGAGTCCGAACAAGCGATCATTAAAGTGAAAAATCTAAAACTGATCAAGGAAAACCGAGTGACGACATAGTCAGAATAAGGCAAAATGAACATACCAATACCATCTATTTCCTGCATGCTATGTGTTTGGTGCAACCTTTGGTTGGCTTGGCCAGTTCCTGGTCCTCATCATTGGATTCCTCTGTCGTGTGGTGCTTAGTCTTACCCCAGCTGGTTTTCGGTGCCTTCTTTTTCCTCTTTTTGTTGGTACTGACATCTTCCAAGTCTTCATTATTGTCAGATGGAACATCATCTGGCGTGAGTTCACTCGGTGCAGGTGATTTTGGTGGGATGGGGGCTGTCTGCATGAGCCTTGGAGATTGAACAATTGGCAGTGAGGGGAGTTCCGGTTCTGGGGTGACAGAAGCAATTGGTGGTGGGAGGAGTTCCGGTTCCAGGGTGACAGAGCTTTGAGGTGGTGTTGGGATAGTCGGAGTAGCTTCAGGTGCTGCGAGTTGTTTGGCAGTGCTGGCACGAGCGGCCATCTGTGCTCGCATTTTAGCCAGCCCATTTACTGGAGCAGAGGACAAGCCAGTCAAATTTCCGGGTCCATTGTCGTCGGATATGGTCGGTCCACCTTCACGTCTGTTCTCATTTTTAAATAATGTCCTAAAGGCAGAAGCAATTAGCCAGGCAAATTATTAGAGAGGAGAAAAACATACCTGTTCCACCATTTGAGGAGTCCCTCTGCCCAGTCTCTATCCTCGCACTCATGAATAAAGTCGATGATGTTGTAGTAGAATGCTTGATTGTTGAATTTGCCATCCACTTCAGACCATTTGTTCTTGTTGCTGATGGCGAAGCATGCCTGGCAATAGTAGTAGTATATGAAAACAATAAGTCAGTTGTGTTAAGTACGTCAATTAAAATAAAACTCACCTGAACACAAGCATATGCTATATGCTCTGCCTCAACAGTAGCCATGTCATGCAGGGACGCTGTAGAAACAACAACACAGCGAGGCGCGAACAAGGCTCCTGACTGTATCTATAAATGTTGAAAGGTCACGTGTTGCCTAGTCTGCTATACTTGAGAAGACAAGTGTGTTCGACCCTAAAGGGGAAGCGAGTGCAGCAAGGATCTAGTGATATGCGCTGAAGGTGCTACTGTTCAGCCAATGCGAAGGTGCGGGAACGCGCGGGAAAGTGTGTGCAGATATGTGGAAATGAGAGAGACTAAGCTTAAGTGATGATATGATGCAAGATAAGAGATGTGAGAGTGCGAGATGTAAACAAATAGATTTCTACTATGTTCTGCTAGGTAGATAGTGGGTGGAAGTTCAGTGGGAAGTCAAGTGGTCTAAGTGGTAAGGTCTCATGGTATGTATTGCTGGTGCTTATATACGGTACCTAAGCGCTGTCATGCGGAGCCGAAGTGCTACTGAAGTGCTACCGAGTAAGGTCTAGTATGTAAAGATATATATAAGTAAGGGTCCATGATAAAAATAAAGGTGGAATGATATGCAAATGAGAGAAATGGAAATATACGCCCTAGAGAACTTGGTGGACAGTGGATGGATGCATCTGGATGGCTGGCGCTATAGGGTGCTCAAGCATGGGAAAGCGCGGGCGCATATACATCGCGAAGCGCGGGAAGTGTGCATGCATGGCGTGCATTGCGTGGGAAAGCTGCACCTCATATAGGGATAGCTGTGGACAGCACACAGAGTGGTGCTGCAAGTTCGTGCAATGAACTCCCTAGTGAAAGGTGCCATATCACACCATGAGAGGCATGAGTCTCTACAGCATGAGTCATCACCTAATGCAGTGGACGGACCTGTAAAAATATGATGCATTATCTCATAATACAAAATATCAGTAAGATACACGCATATAATCAACTGAAAGACTTACACACTCAATGAGATAGCCCTGGAACAGGCCCTCATGTATGGCATCCTTGTTGTACCTGCTGCCAGGAGGATTTCTAGCCCACAGAAACACTGGAAAGTCGATTGAGGTCATATGGATATGTCTGATCTCCATCCATTTTCAGGCCCTAAGTCAAAGAACATCAGATGATCGGATATGTCATAAATCGAGTACTTACAATGCGGAATCTCAGTTGAAATCAGTGAGTGCTGATATCAGACAAGAAAAGAAGCAAGCACAGGGTGATTGATGCCCATGTGCGCCCTGGACAGTGAGCTGCCATTGTAGATTGTAGGCTTCAAACCTTCTTTTAATGGTTCAGGCGCCACGTAGTGGCCAATTTGGGCCTTCAAGCAAGTTGCATCATCCAAACATGTTCCACTGATAACAGCAGTCATTAAATAGTATATCAGTACACAATATATGCACATATAAGCAGCATATACTCACCTTTCATGTGATCTGAATGAGTTCCTTGGACTTCATGCGATCAGCAATAAGTGATCAGACTCCCGGAGCCAGTTGAAGCAACTGCTGATAGTTGTGCTTGTACTGATTGAGGGTATTGGTTGAACTAAACAAAACGGACATCTTAGTATAGACTTTGCAAAATGAAAATTCAGACTTACAGACTTGCAAGCCTTTTCTGATGGGATTTGTGCTTGGCCTCCAACTCTTCCAATTCTCCATTCTCCATGGCCTGCTCTTGCTGTAGTAGTAGACCTACCCTTAGGATTTTCTCCACATTGCAGAACAGATCAGTGCAATGTGCCATGGCACGTGCTGCCACAAGATACTCCTCTTGAACTTTGAATTCAGAGTTGTTCTCTTTCAAGATCTTAGCTTTCCTGATCATAGATTATATTAGTGATCTCGGCACAAGGAATTTGAATAGAAAACTTACTTGACTTCTTGATCACCTTTATCAGATTTGCGCCCACATTTTTTAGACGACTTCTTAAGGTGAGGTTGCAAGTGTTCCATTGAGGAAATAGAAGAGTTGCTGCTGGTGTCACTCTCTGAAGCTGAGGGGGATCTGGAACGATGTTTGTGTGGCATGCTTGAGATGTGATGCAATAATATCAGTAGAAGAAGTCATGTGATCAGAATTTGATCAACAAAGGCAAATTTCAATCTCCAAAATCACATGACCCACCTTGCTCAATTCTAATTTCTCTAAGTCAAAATCTCTTTGTCATATCCGAGTCGACAATCATGATCATGAACTGACAGCTTGATCAGAAGCATTGATTGCTTCATCCACAGACTGGAATAGGTGCATCTGTCATAACTTAAGGATGCTCACATACCATGCAGGTGGTGATAGCTGAGCCATGTGGCAAAATGGCACAGGCAACTTCAATGACTTAGACCAGGAGTTAGTAGACTCATTTGGAGAAGAGTTGCAGAAAGCAGGATTATCTAGATCTAATACATATTACCACTAAGTCTTATGAATTTGTTATTATATCTAGGATGCAATATAAGATCTAAAGTTTGTATTCATGTTGGGCTGAGTGTGCATCCCATGGATGGCCTCACCTGCCTCAGGTGTGCAAAGATTTTCACAACTCAGAAAAGCCTCAGTAATCATGAGGCTTGGTGTGATGCCAGTAAGAGCCTGGATGCTGACATCTATAAACAGCAGCGCCGTCTGGAGAAGCAAATGCACTGGAAGAAAAAAAGGCAACATGTCATGGCTCCTGATGCATCTTCCTCACCAGAAGGCAGAGATATGAGCTGTAATGCTCGTCAACTAAGTCCTGAAGACTGGATGGATGTCGACAATGATCAATGGCTCGATCATGATCATATGTGTTATGAACTAGGATAGTTCTAACAACAGAGACTCGACAGAGTCTTTCGGCTGTTGAGATTTGTAAAGTCCTTCAGAAAAGAAGGAGTTCTGTATAGACTTAATCAAAGGAGTGCTTCAGCTAAGAATGCTAGTTCAGACGACTTAAGATTGGAGGTCTTAAGCGAAGGAAGTTCTGGGTAAAACCTAGTAAGATTCAAGTGACGTTCTACATAGCTAATACACGTGCTTAAATAAGTCAATATGCGCGCACGGACCAAGATAGTCGTGAGATATAAGTACAGGATCCAAGAAAGGTAAGTGATCATAAATGGAAAGTGTGTTATGGACAAAGAAAGAAAAGAAGCAGAGGAAAAGTGTTATTGTAACATTACCCCCTTACTAGGCATAAAGTCACCGACTTTAATCATCTAGGTTAGCGTAATAAATGGGGTTGTTGGAATAGTCCAAGTCATTGGAAGAGCCCCTTCAGTGACAAATTCCGTATTATATGGGCCACCCGACCTCCATAATATCCTGTATGAGACGGGCCAGTGGATCATGGGCCCATGTTGTGTATATTCTCGATGATGACGGATGGGCCGGGACACATATTATTTCCGATGGAGACGGGTGGGCCCATGTATGCCAATGATATATATATCCTTGATGTTGATGGATGGGCCGGGGGAATATGATCATTCATGGAGATGGGTGGGCCCATCTGGGTAATATGTAGAGTAGGATATTATAGACAGCTGGGCTGAAGAGAGATGTAAGGCAAATATTGTTATATAGACGGGCAGGCCGACGGGGGTGTATTACATATATGGGTGGGCTGACATGGGGTGTATTACATATACAAGTGGGCCAACGTGAAAAGTATTACATATACGGGTGGGCCGATGAAAGCGATATCAAATATACGGGTGGGCCGAGGGTGCGATAAAATATTTATTACATAGACAGGTGGGCCGAGGTGGGGTATAATTATATAGACAGGTGGGCCGACAGAGGATGTATTATATAGACGGGTGGGCCAACATAGGATGTATTACATAGACGGGTGGGCCAAGGTGGGGGATAATGCATAGATGGGTGGGCTGACGTGGGGGAATTGTACATAGATGGGTACATATATGGGTGAGCCTAGATATGTTCCATCAAGACATACAGCTGATGTAGCCACCAGTGAATCAAACATGTAGGATACATGTACACTATGAGTGCATATACCTACTGTCGACCACCAAATCTAAACCCCCTAAGCACAAAAACATGAATCGACCATGTGTGGCATTGACCAATAATCGAGGACTGAAGTGGAAAAACCCCACACCTGAACCCTGGTGTGCAACATATCCTATTTATAAGCATGGACACCAGAAGCAAAACACTCACAAAAATATATATGTCAAATTTTCAGTGCCAAACCCCAAACCGAGATGTACCAACCCCCAAATCCTGAAACCCGAGACTGCTGGGTCTCGGGTTTTGGGGTTCGGGGGTCCTGGAACTCGGAACTTGGGAAATTTGGGGAGATCAATAAAATTTGATTTACAATCAAGTTTATTGACAAACACATTGACTTACCCATGTTTGAAATATATTTTGTTTACACATACCGAGTTCCGAGTTCCAGACCCCCGAACCCCGAGACTGCTGAGTCTCGGGTTTGGGGGTTTGGGGGTCTGGAACTTGGAACTCAGTATGTGTAAACAAAATATATTTCAAACATGGGTAAGTCAATGTGTTTGTCAATAAACTTGATTGTAAATCAAATTTTATTGATCTCCCCAAATTTCCCAAGTTCCGAGTTCCAGGACCCCCGAACCCCAAAACCCGAGACCCAGCAGTCTCGGGTTTCAGGATTTGGGGGTTGGTACATCTCGGTTTGGGGTTTGTGGGTTAGTAAAATGTTTACAGATATACGTAGGTTGATTTAAACATTGTCTGAGAGATGTTGTTCGTCTCAAATGTCAAATCCTGAGTTCTGAATTTTGGGACTCGGCACCTGGCACCCGGGACTCAGGGTTTGGCACTGAGAATTTGACATTCGGGTGTTTGGGTTTCATTGGATCATTCAATTGTGGCATAGGTAACATGCATTGAAAAAGATTTATGTACATCTATCACTGAGCAATTATGTAGCCATTTCAACCTCCTCACCAGGAAGATCAACCTTTCCCTCAACATCCATCTCCTCATCAGAGGAAGCATATTCTGGCAGGAGGTTACCTGGTTCATTAGGGACCACAATATTGCCGGAGGATTCTGGCAAGAGGTTGCCTGGTTCATCTGGGAGCACAATTTCGCTGGAGGATTGTGGGTGGGCTCAACCATGGGACCTACCATAGCAGATCCATGCTCAGGCGTCACGGGTGTGGGTTCCATCACTGAAAAGTCCAAATCAATGAGGTTGGAAAGTGCGGAGGGGAGGGGTGACATGGATGGGGGGGACCTCCTTGATCAAGCAACATTAATCCATCGGCCGGTGTGTCCGGAAGTGAAAATGAAGGGTGCCGGTCGATCACCGTGCGCCGGAGGCTCTCATGGAGGCATTGCAGGGTATCAATCTTAGCGTCCTGCTCCTGCACCCGAGCCTCAAGAATCGCGATACGAGCTGCACCATCCCGAATTGCAATTGCCATGGAATGGAGATCCGGCATGGGAACATCGAGTGCTGCATGAGGCACTGCAACGCTGGAAGACCTGACTGCTAAGTAAAAAATTAGGTCAGCCAGTCATCAAGGGTTTGGGTGACTTACCAGCTGGCGCAGGTGCAGGGACAGGTGCAGGGACAGGTGCAGCTGCAGATGCAGATGCAGGTGCAGGTGTCTTCTTGGTAGTGATGGTCTTGCTGCAACCACGTGACTGCACCTGGGGTGTAGTTGCAGCAGGGATGGCCGGAGGTTGGGACAGGCCATGAGATTGACTACGAGTTTGGGCCCTTGACCGGGAGGGAGACGGAGCATTGGATGGAGCAGGGGCAAGTGTCTTGGAATGTGTCCGGCTGGTGGTAGACTTCCCTCGGATCCGTTTGGGTGGGGATCCCAGAGATGCAGGGTTGCATTTGATCTTCTTGGTGGAGCAGTGGATGCAAGACAAGCAGGGGAGACTGGTCCTCTTGTCCAAATGAGTCGCACAGGGCCAATTCTCCTTGACACAATAATGGCAGGGGTTGTTCTGTGGTATCCGTTAGTAGATGGATGAAAGGGAATTAATTGGAGTACTCACTGGGCCGGGAATGGTGATATCAAATGTAATATTGGCTGGTGGGTCACCATCAGAAGCATTGGAAGTATATTCAGAGGGCTCCTCAACTTCCGGACGACTGCCGGAGGTTGCCTGACGGATTGTTAATACACATATGAGTTTCTGGAGAGCTTCTAAGACTTACCCGAGCCTCCGGATGACTGATGGGAGATTTCTAATGTAATGGGAATGACTGACAATTATACATGGGAGGTCCAGACAAGTCCGAACGACTCACCATGACATCTGGATGACTGCCGGCAGTCAACTGTGGACACATGAGCATATATTTAAGGTCCAAACAGATAAATCAGACTTACCGAAGCAGGTCCAAATGATTGCTTCTTGGGGGAACTGGGTGACCGAGGCGACTGGGGCTTCCTTACAACAATGGTGGAGCACTGGGGAAGGACAATGTAGAGACTAATATCTCTGTGGCCTTGCAGGGATCTAAAATCCCATTGTTACTATCACTTCCCAACATAGCACGACTCATATCTCACACAGCGCGCCCAAGTGCATTGTCGGCCGCTCGCAAGGGCCAGCGCTCCGGTCGCTCCTTAGTTGCGCATCGGCGCGCGCATCCTCGGTTCCGTTGCACGTCCTCCGTCCATCCATTCCATGTCCGTTCGGTTCGTCGGTGCGTATTCCGATTCTATTTTCATTGATTCTAACATATCTCCGGCACTTATGGCCATATTTCGTATGTTTTCCGTTATGGACCCTTTATTACATATTATCTCGCATCCACTTCACTTCTCAGTTCGCTTTAATGCTTGACAGCGCTTATCATTACTTAGTATATATAGACGCGTATAAATCGTGTAATAGGGATCTTTTTCTGCCCACACATCGTTGGACTATAAGTCTAAGTTAACCTCTAAAAACTCAAAAGTATCTAAGTACAATATGAGCGCCGCCGCTGTACACTACTAGAAACTCTGTCCATTAGTATTCTGACTCATTGAGAGTCGCTGCGCTCCACCACCCGCATGCGCACCGCTTCTGCTTAAAGCGCACGCTTCTGTTATAAGTCGCGCGTCAATATCTATCGTCGGCCGCTATCGCTCATTGGCGCTTCATGTCACTTTCGCTTGCTCGCGCTTCGCTCATCGTCGCGCGCCTAACCAGGCTTGACCAAGTGCCCGGTTCAGTGTTTCCTTCCGTTTTATACACCTAGAGGAACCTTCTCAGTAGCAATCCCCTTGGGCCGACGTATATCTTGCTCACCGAGGACTACTTGAGTTATCTCATACTACCTATATTCACCCACTTCCCATTCCTCTTCTACAACTGGAGCCCACCGCGAGGGGATCATCTGAGAAAACCGGTAGGTTATTCAGGCCTACTAAAGAAGGCGTCGCAAGAAATGAAGTCTTGGAAGAATTTCGAAGAGCGGTCGCCTCTTCGCGCTTATCCACCATTCAGGAAATTTTGACTCCGGTCAAATATAACCAGCCGTGAAAATTCTCGGAGCCGACGCGCCCCAACCTATCCCTATTAACACCAAACCCGTTTGCACCCACATCGCCAGTGACGCCATCGCCCAGAGAATCAGTACACGGCGAATCCTCGGACGACTTCGAATCACACGACCATCCCCGCAACCTGCCGCCAGGCGCATTTGTTGAAACACCTAAAAA